GTTTACAAACAACCATAGAAACAGCTTTACTGTAGAGGCTCGACACGGGGTTATAATATAATATTATAGTTAGCATATATTTGATGACATTCGACCTTCACTTTTTAAAAAAAATATTATGAAGAATGTGTTTGTTAAATGTTAAATTAATTTACACGTGTTTTACTTTTCATAACAATGTGGAAAAAAATTACGGTAAAAAATGTACTTTTTGTTTCTTCGTTTTTCTCATTATGATGTAACATGAGATAAGGTCGATTTCTATCCAACGAGGCTCATATATACACTTGTTTTAACATGTACATGCACTTCTTAGTTTAAGTAGGACAAGCACATAGTCAAGAGTGCCCCCCCCCTCCTCAATTCAACTTGTTTTTGCTGTTGTTGAAATGATCTTTTGCTGTTACTTTCGTAAGGAATTACTATACCACTGCTACGAAGGAGAGGGGGTATACTGATTTACCTTTGTGTGTCGGTCCGTCCGTCTGTCTGTCTGTTTGTCTGCCTGTGTGTCTATACGTAGCAAATGTTTGGTTGCAGTTTTCTCAGTAACTATTCATTGAAGATGCTTGAAATTTTAGCACAGTATTTGCTAAGGCATGCCATATGCATGGTGGGTAACAATTGAGTTTAAATCTGATGTCAACTTCCTGTTTATCCGTGTGTCTGTCCGTACCATACATAAAAAAATTCGTTGAAGTTTTCCCTGCAGAGATAAGTGTCCTACACATAAGAATGACACTCAAAATTCAGTATGTAATTTAAAGATTTTGTGATTTTGTTCTTCCTCATTAAGGCACAGAGGTTAAAATAAGTATTAGGGAAAGTGCAATTAGATGGAAAGAATATAATAATACAAACCACCGCCGCTCTTATTAGGTCCAAAACACTGTCCGTAGGAGCTATGCCAGTGAACTCCCTATAAGCTTTTGAAATTCAATTAATCAACAGAGAACCTCATTTTGACTCAAAGTGAGTGTAATATTAATACCTTTAAGTATACATCGATATATGACAGGAAAAATATAATTATCTGAAATAATTTTCTGGAGGGTTAAAGTGAGGGGGCAATAAAAGTTACCACCTCCTCCTCCAATATGTTAGAAAGGGGGGCTTGATTTATTTGTAATGTTTTTTTTTTTCAAGTTAAATAACTTCTTGTCCCCCGCTTGAAAAGTGGGGGATAATAATTTGGGTCTGTCCATCCATCCGTCTTTCTGTCTGTCTGTAATGCTTTCATTTCCACACAATATCTCGAGAACCCTTTGAGCTTATGTGATGAAATTTTGCAAGACAACTCTCTATGAACTAAAGAAGAGCCCTATTGATTTTGAGGTCAAAAGGTCAAAGGTCAAGGTTATAAATTCAAAAATTCTGTTTGTTAAAACACTTTCGTTTCCACACGATATATCAGAACCCTTTGAGCTTTTGCAATGAAATTTTACATAACAACTTCCCATGGCCTAAGGAAGAATCATATTGATTTTGAGGTCAAAAGGTCAAAGTTCAAGGTTGTATATTTATACATTCTGTCTGTGTGTAACACTATCCTTTCCGGGCGATATTTCAAGAAGATTTTGAGCTTTTGCAATGTAATTTTATACCAAAACTTCCTGGGACCTCTCTCACCCCTCTCAAAGTGTCCTTCCCCATTTGTTTTATTAGTATTTATTGTATTATATGTCACTATTTTTAGCACAGGGGCATGAGGAGAGTTATTACGTATAAAACAGGTTCTCGATGGCTTTATATTCTTATTACATCTTATTAGAACTGTTTAATCAAGGTTAAATTAGACACCATGCATTGTGTAAAATTTTGACAATATCGAACGTAAATACATACATGTATCTGACTTCATCTTTGCATATAATTTTCGCCGGTTTAAAGGGGTTCCGTGGTGTAGTGGTATGTCTCTCAGTTTTACATGTGAGAGGTCCCGGGTTCGAAACCCGGACGATCCATTTTCTTTTTTTTCGAAATACTTTTTTTTTACTAAGTGATAGTATTCAGCATGTGAAATGAGGTATTTATGAGGTCTGGATTGTACAAACTCATAAAATCATCATTACAGTGTGATAAATATTCCATATAAAAAGAATCTTCTATACACATACCGTGGTAATAAAGAATAAGTAATCAAATCTTTATATCCATATTGGCATATTTTACTTGCTTCAGTATAAATGTATACATTTAATAATTCTACAAATTCAGTCAGGGGGATCCAATCCCCTCCTCCCCCGAACTGTGCATGGTTTACTTTTTCCTTAAGCGGGGGACACAAATTCTCTAAATTAGCTTGTTATACCCCCCGCTTGAAAAGTGGGGGTACATAGTAATCGGTATTTCCGTCCGTCCGTCCGTCCAGCTATACAGTTGAGAGGTACATTGTGCATTTTACGGAAGGTGCGGGGTTATCATTTTGCTTTGTGAGGTTATTAATAGTACAGTGGTGACTTGAGAGGTTTCATTAGGAATTCAAACAAATGGTATATTGTGGGGTTAAAGGTCAATATTTGTGGGGTTAAAGATCTATATTTGTGGGGTTAAAGATCTATATTTGTTGGGTAAGAAATTAATTATTTAATAATATCTAGTCAACTTCACAGGCAACTAATTAAAAGTACTTAAAATTGTTACTGTTTATCTGAAGAACTTAGAATGGATATAGCAATAACATTTTTCAACTACTGCATAGCAGTAACAATGCAAAAAAATGTGTTTTATTTGAGGATAACTGTTGCATCAAAGTAAATTAACCCATCATGTTTTCACATGAAGATGATAGACAAGAATATTCCAGAAAGTGTTAAACAAACAACCCCAATATGCTATATAGATATAACAGACAACACTAACCCCATAAATTATAAGACAAACAACCCCAGTGTGTACTCTTATATAGATAATAGACAACACTAACCCCATTAAGCGTTTGGACAGCAACCCCACTATGTACTCTCATAAAGATAATAGACAACACTAACCCCATAAAGTGTTTGGACAGCAACCCCACTATGTCCTCTCATAAAGAAAATAGACAACACTAACCCCATAAAGTGTTAGGACAACAACCCCACTAAGTACTCTTATAAAGATAAAAGACAACACTAACCCCATTAAGTGTTTGGACAGCAACCCCACTATGTACTCTCATAAAGATAACAGACAACATTAACCCCATAAAGTGTTTGGACAGCAACCCCACTATGTACTCTCATAAAGATAATAGGCAACACTAACCCCATAAAGTGTTTGGGCAGCAACCCCACTATGTACTCTCATAAAGATAATAGACAACACTAACCCCATAAAGTATTTGGTCAGCAATCCCACTATGTACTGTTATAAAGATAATAGACAACACTAACCCCATAAAGTGTTTGGACAGCAACCCCACTATGTACTCTCATAAAGAAAATAGACAACACTAACCCCATAAAGTGTTAGGACAACAACCCCACTAAGTACTCTTATCAAGATAAAAGACAACACTAACCCCATAAAGTGTTTGGACAGCAACCCCACTATGTACTCTCATAAAGATAACAGACAACATTAACCCCATAAAGTGTTTGGACAGCAACCCCACTATGTACTCTCATAAAGATAACAGACAACATTAACCCCATAGTGTTTGGACAGCTACCCCACTATGTACTCTCATAAAGATAATAGGCAACACTAACCCCATAAAGCGTTAGGACAACAACCCCACTATGTACTCTCAGAAAGATAATAGATAACACTAACCCCATAACGTGTAACAACCCCATTATGTTCTTATATACATAAAAGATAACATTAACCCCACAAAGTGTTAGACAAGAACCACAATATGTTCTGATAGAAAATATCAGACATCTTAGTAACCCCAGAGTGTTAAACAAACAACCCCGCTGTGTTCTCATGTAACAGATACCAGTAACCATATGAATTTAAGTGTTTGAAAACCCCAGTATGTTCTAATATCAAAAAACTCTACCAGGGACTGGTAATAAAAGAACAAGTACCCCCACTATGTTCAATGGCAACTTCTCAAGCCTTTCTGACTAGCTGACAAACGACCTCGAATGTATTAGTTAGACGCTGTGGCAACAACCCCCCTTTTAATGATCTTCGATATAAATGCATGAAGACCTTTTATCTGTGGAATATGGAGTTTAACTTTATTCAATGCTATGATATTACATAAAATATACTATAAAAGGGACTTCTTACTTCCTCTATCCTATATTTGAAAAAAAAACAAGAAAAGCATAACCTTTAACATCAGGTGATGTTAATACACTCGAGGTTGTTTTTCCGAACTCTGACGGAAAGACCCTGAGTGAGATGATGCGATTGCCAGTACGTCATATCCTTTTTTTTACTATTGGAAATACTAAACAATACTCATAATACTTTTTCCTATTTTGATAACATACTCGAAAATTTGTTTTAAATATTTTTCAAACTATTTTTAATTGGATAATCTCTTTATCTTTACTGATATTTCTAATGAGAATTTTTCCTTTGGATCTGCTGGTGCATGAATTTGAAGTGTACATTATGCATCAAAAGCATTCATAATTACATTGTAAATTAATAATAATAAATAAAAGAGATGATCCTGATTTTTAAAAAAAAAATTTAATCAAACTTTTCAGTTGCTCGATAAGTTGAACACAGATAAGAAACATGTCAATAAATGTTGAACACAGAAAAAAAACCCTCAAAATTTGAGACAATCTTCATAGATGTATGACATGTAAAACAAGTATATAGTGAGTTGTCAAATAACTCTAAAACTTGCATGTTATTGCTACTTATTATAAACAAAATATATTAATTCAAATGAAGTTTTAAGAAAAAAAAGTGTAGTCTAATATCTCATCATTTTGCATTTTAAAATTGTTCTTCAAACAAAAATAACGATGTACATCCTTTTGGAAAATATACTCAAACTTAACAGCTGCACCCCCACTCCCATCCCCTAAAATAAAATGAAAAAAAAAATGCACTTGATTTATAATTTTCAAAAAAATAAAAATCAAACAACATAAATGTACATTTCAGTTTAATAATTATTTCTCACATTTAAAATGAGATTACTAATTAAAAAAGACGAAAACTATGACTTTAATGTTTAGAAATTCGCCATGCCGAACGCAATGTTCATAAAAGATCCTTTTGTCTTAAAGCTGAACACTACTCATAAACATAAGAAATCAGAGATTACATAGCTCAATTCAAAAAATGATTACTTCAAGTAAGACACGGTCTCACATTTAACTAATAATCAAGAAGTTAATTTAAGGTTTGCAGTAACTTGAGAATAGACATCCAAATACTTGAAACTTGTTGCCCATCAAGAAAATGTCATTCAAATCCACGCCCCATGTAAATGTTATCTTTTTTAGATCAACTTTCAAAAATCGATTCATCTTTTTCTGAAAAGTAAGTCAGGTCCTGAATGTCGCCGTCTGGAGAAGGCAATGGCAAGAATGAATCGGGATTGTGCTTGTTCTTCTGAAAATTCTTTAACTCATACTTCATGTATACCTGTCAAAAAAAAAAATACAGTAAAATATATTTTTAAATGATAATGTTGAATTTTTTAAAGGTTATGCTTTAATTTATTGTAAAATAATATTGTTGTCTTGATTTTATGGGCACTTATAATAACATGTACTAACCATCTATCTGGATGTCTTTAATAGTTGCTTTCCTTAAATTTGTGAACTATATTCAGATCACGAATTGTGTGTTCAAGTCATAGGTTTGTTCTTTCAACTTTATGAATGTCCGACGCCTGCTGGTGTTGCTGCAACAATAGAGTGGCCTTGATCATCAAAGTTCCACTGATGTTCACTTTCAATAGTATCTGAACTCTACAAAGGAATACAGAAGCAAATGTTTATTTAAAACACATACAAAAATTCCGAGTTACTAATTAAAATTCATCGAAATTTATTTATAGCATAGTGTCATGTACTGTGAACTACTTTCTTATATTGGTAAAAGGTGAAAAAGTACAGTCAAACTTGATTTAAGCTTTGGGAAGTCCAGAAACTAGCCACTTAAGACAGGTGGCCTCTTATTCCAGTTTGCCCAGGAAGTAGCCAGTCGGTCAATAAATAAACAGCAATAACCACTACAGTTGATTTAATTAAACTTGTCAATTTCACAAGACCTTTGTATGTGTGTATATATATTAATCCTAGCTTATTTAAAAAATATCAAATTAAAGAATTCCAAATTTTTAAGGTTTTGTGCATGTTTCTGTTCCTACAAAACAGTTAAACTTCATACATTCAAAAGTGTTCAGGGTTCCAGAAACGCACCCGGTCCACCGGGGAGCCCCGGTAAACTTTGAATGGGACCGGTAAAATCTTAATTTTATCGGTCAAAATGTCCGATGTTTTTTTTAACAGACTGTATAACGTTTACATATAATCTTAACAAAATCATTTAATTCAATTGTCCTGACAATAAACAAATGCAAAACTAAAGGAATGAAAAAAAAAACGTCAGGCCTCTCATGGGCGCGCCAGATCTTGTTTAAAAATAAAATGTAGACGGTGATTGTCTACTATAAAAAGCTTCATATTAAAAATAATAATTTCCATAAGTCTGGGAGGAAAAACAGTTTTAAAAACACTGTCAAACAAATATTTTCCCTCTGATAAATATATGCACTCTGTATAGTTCTGACAGTAAAAAAAATGTGACAATCTACTTTCGTTTTGAAGGACGAATTTGCAGGGTTGCAAGAGTTGCCTGCTATTTCTGCTTGATTACAGACAATTTGTTACCATTTATTATTTTCTCTATAATTTAATCTATCAGCATGATAATATTATACCAACTTCTGGATTTTTTTTTAATGTATTTGATAGCATTTAAAATACATGCGCGTTTTTCCCCTTTTCTAAAAATAGAGGACTGACTTGAATGTAGTAAAACGACAACAAATTCACTTAAAATCATGATTTTCATGATAAATTTGCATATCTTTATATAATTAGTACATATTTTTAACTGTGTGGAGGTTGTATAATAAATTTTAACTAGTCAGAAATATCGGACGTTTTCCAGGCTTTTTAAAACGAGTTTGATATTTTACGTAATATTTTTCCTGGCACATAAAATACCAAAATCCAAAATCCAAAAGAAAAAAGCCTGTAAAAAAACATATTTTCCAAACAATCAACCAAGAGTTGTCATCTTGCAGATTTTATTTAAAAAAAAATTTTAAAAATCTGTCAGAAAGGACATAATAATTTTATACGATGAATTAAGCTTTGGTCATCACACGCCTTCGGCGAAGTCAAATCCTGCATACACAGGCCTTATAGAAAATATTTTAATAATTAAAAAAAAAAATCTGCATTTGCCATCTTTTTATTTACACATATTTTTTATTATATCGTTACAATTTCCAATCCTATAATATGTTAAATTTACAAACAAAAAAATTTATGTCCGGTGAATTTTACAACTGTCCGGTGAATTTTGAATATTTACAGGACAATTGTCCGACATATTTTTGACTAATTTCGGGAACTCTGAGTGTTCTTTTGTTACATTCAAATACATGATAATTTATTTACAGTATTAATTCAAGAAGAAATACATGTGCCTTACTACTATCTATTTTTTTAATAAGAAAAAATACACAAGCTTTAATTAAAAGACAGTTTAATGGTGAATTAAATAAAGTATAAAAATTTATTTCAGAAAGTGTCAATAAAATCCATTTAAAAACTTCACTATCATATGTTCAGGTAATGATAAGCAGTGTAACCCCCCCCCCCCCCCCTTCAATTAATCCTCGATCAACTACTTTGCTGAAGTTTTAAAAGTCTTGTAAATTTTAATACTATTTTTATAAAGCTGTCAGAATTTCTATCTAACATACAGACACACAAAAAAAATTATTCAATTGACCAAAGATTTGTATTAACGCAGTTTAAAATCATTCTACTACAACACAGGTGTCAAGTGCAGTAGAGCGTAACTAATGCCTATCGATCGTCTCCTGATGGTGAAATTCACGTGATAATCATGCTATACAAAACAGAGTTGCAATTAGAGCTTCTACACAGAATCAAAATCTAACAGGTGTAAAAATACTGATAGACCTGTATTAGCTAAGTTACATATTCTCACTGTAAATATTCAAAGTAAGGATGAATTAATATTGTAAATTACAAAATGTAGCTTTAAGCTTGAATTTCTTTAAGTTTAGCTATGGAAAAACTATTAATTGTGATTTAATTCTTTTAAATTTTCAATGGTCGATCTTGAAAAATAAGTACAAATTGATCTTATAGGACAATTATATTTTTTTCATTAACACAAACAGAGTTATATATACGTATCTAAAGGTAATTTGTTTAATTTCTTTAATAGGTGAATTTTTTTATCCGGCACATAATTACTCAAGCGACTGTGTAAGCAATGTGACATATTGGGTATTTTAACAACTGATTAAAATTTCCTACACTCATTTATAAACATTGATTTCATTTATCAAATTGATATACCACTAAATTTTACAATCTAATTATACAACCCCATGTTGATTCCTACGAAGCCTACTTGCTGCGAAGATTTATTGCAGTGACATTAATTCCATTTTTCCATTCTGATTTTCTCTCTATAGATTAAGGTACGATTACAAGTACATGTAAACAAATGTGTGAAGAGTAGATTAAACAATTGGTACGTTTCTAGAATGAGTTCAGAGAGAGAGAGAGAGAGAGAGAGAGAGAGAGAGAGAGAGAGAGCAATTATACTACGAAACAGGGTAAAATTAAAGCCAAAAATATTCAATTTGAAAAAATTTAAACACGGAAGATTTAAAAATTAATCGGTAGGGGCGGAAGAGGCGTGAAAAATCCAGAGATTTTGTCTCCCGTCGGAAGAATCTCATGTATTCATGTTATGAGATATCTGCATGTATTTACCATAGATATAGAGAAAATTCGAATTAAGAAAAAAAACACGATCGTTTTTTGAAGTAAATAAGCCAAGTAGTACTCCAACACGGATAAAATTATGGAGATTTATTGACAGTTGGAGCATGTTATATGGAAAATTTAAATGGTTTCAATTGGATTTTTATAGCAAAAAACGAGTGAAAATACGTACCAGGTGTGCTTTGCATGTATTGCATGTGTACAAATAATATTATCTTTTTTTTACTGGCCAACGGGGCGACCCTCTTGCAGAAAACCACTAGCCCAACCCCCGGGTATCGGTCGATTTTCATTGCAGACCTCTGATTAAAAAAGAACTATCAGTGCATTCATTGTAATTTTTTTCACAAAAGCCCGTTTTCAATGCTATGTGTTTATGTGGACTACAAGTGTCCTTTCCTTGACTTTAAATAAATTCAACTGCATAATGTACGTATGAAGCATGTCAAACAACTTACAAAGCTTTTTTCAATGTGGTGCAACAAAATAGTAAGACTTACTGCATTTGCTTTTTGTGTTTCCGAATTTCCTCACTGCTAATACAAACTTCCGTATTCTGCGCATGCGCAGTTAGTTTTAAATGTATGCGCATGCTCAGGTATTCGGAACTCCTCGATTCAATTACCGAACTCCTCTAAACAGCAGATTTCTGAATGTCTGAGCGTTTTTGGCTAAGGACATGTCCAAAATTTGGACAAAGTCTTTGTGAGGTTAAATCTAATTTTAGGTTTTTCGACCTCATAGAGTAATTTTGAACGTAATTAGACCTCTTCATTATGGGGTTAACCCCACAGTACCCAAAAAACCCCACACTGCTGGAAAATACGTTAATTTTACCCCACAATGTACCTCTCGTAAGAACAGCTGTACGTCCGTCTGTCCGTCCGTCTGTTACGCTTTGGGGTACCCATCTCTTATCCGCAACTCCTCTCATACCACCGAATGAAATTTGATGAAACTTTCACAGAATCTTTATTACATATTGCCATTGTGCACCTCCTATTTTACTTTTTGATCCGACAGATATTTTGGGTTTCCCGGCCACAGGAAAAGATGGACTATTTCACCAGTTATAACCATATGGGAGGCGGGGGGTATCATTTAGTGAGCTCATCGCTCACAGTACCTCTAGTTTTTATCTAAAACTATTTGGAAAGCTTCTTAGAAATATTTTCCAGAACATAAAGTCTGTGATAAATGGAATACTGAGATGTCCTCATAAAATGTGACAAAATCAAATATATCTTTCTTTCTCAGCTGTAATTTGGGCACATAAATCTATGATTTCAACAACGACCATTTTACATTTCCCCAATTTGACTGCATGTACGTAAAAGGAACTCCTCTCCACTGGAAATTGCCATATTTCCCTATAAATCTTTAATGTATTCCTTCATTATATATTGTTTCAGTAAAGTGTACACATTGTATTATAAATTTGGCTTAAATTCAACTGTGACAGTGTTTGCTATGACAAAGAAATCTTAATAATTAAATAATTTTTTTCTTTGTTGCAATAAAATAATCATATATTAAAGAAACTAGATGTACTGTGAGCAATGAGCTCACTAAATGATACCCCCCGCCCCCCATATGAAAATAATGGCAGTGTCCATGTTTTGCTCTGGAAAATCAAAAATACATGTCAGATCAAAAAGTAAAATAGCAGGTGCACAATGGCAATATGTAATTAAGAATCTGTGAAAGTTTCATTAAATTTCCTTCCATGGTATGAGAGGAGTTGCGGATAAGAGATGGGTACCCCAAAGCATAACAGACGGACGGACGGAAATCGACAGATGCTGAGATGGTTTACCGGTATATAATTTTCATCAACATCTGATTTTATATAAGATTGATAATATGCCTATACTATTAATATTGATATAATTAGAATCATGTCATTATTTATGCTTTGGGTACTTCAAAGTTATTTTTACAATAAATAATCATGCCCTTTTATTAATGAACTCATACAAAATATGTGCAACTTTCAATGTACGTGGTAAATATTTCATTGGTACTTGCCTAGTGATCTTCTTATTGCCATATATATTTCTTCATCACAACCTTATTATCCCACTCTTAGCTTTGAAGTCCATTTAACTGACGATACTTTGTTTTTAAACACTTTTTTTGAAATGATATTGCACTTGTTGTCACAAAGCAGGAATTTCATAGGATGGAATCCATTTTTAAGTTTATCACATCTACACACAAACATGTATATCTCTCAGACACAGTAAAGCCTGATCAATCATTTAACAGTTTAACTATGGGTAAAGTTAAACATGCGTGGATCTAGAGGGGGGTTGGGGGGGTCAGGACCCCCCCTGGAATTTACCAGGTTAAAAAATGTATATACTAAATCAAGAAAAAAGTTACCTTGCAAAACGCTCCCCCCCCCCCCCCCTGGTGAACATGAATATGTGTGAAATGGGTATGAAAAGTGAAAGATTTGAGGCAATGGAAGTCACCACTAACCCCCCCCCCCCCCCCCCCCCCCCCCCCCCCCCCCCCCCCCCCCATGAAATAGGTTTTTGACGTTTGGGGAGTTTAGGTTTTTTTTTTTTTTTTTTTGCTTGTCAACAAATTTCTGTGATTGGATTTTTTTTTGACTGGGGTGGCCCCCCCCTGGAAAAAATTTCTGGATCCGCACCTGTTAAATACTTCACAAGTTGGATTAAAACCCCTGAAAATATCCAAAACAGACAGTATTTACTTCTTAAAGTCATTTTCTGCTGTGTACTTTCACTTTCATTTTCATTGATTTAAGCAAAAGATTTCCGAAAGGGGAAGTAACTCTTCACAAAAATTTGTGTAAATATAGAGATTTTTATTACAAACTTTACAATCAATTTATTTTCTTAAGGTCTTCAATCCCTAATGGGAAGAAATTCAATGAAATTGAAAACATAACAGATATGTAGGCATTGAAGACTGAAGTTTATTTAGACATACTTCCCATTTATTACTATAAGTATGTTTAGTGGGATGTGTCCTAATTCATGACCTTGAATTTTGGTAAGAGTTATCTCCCCTTTTTTAATTAATAAAAAAAAATCAATTAAAAAAAAATTTAGCTGGTAAAAAAATTGTTTTCAATTATCATTCTATTTTTAATATTTCAATGCATCTTTCCACCACAGGATTTATTGATATTCAAATTATTTGAATTTTTATTTTGAAAAAACGCTTTTCCCCATAGACTTCAATGCAATCTTTGTTAATTTAGCTACTGCTTAATTAATGAACTTTTTGAAAATTTCTCGTGGGCAATCCTTTTCCACTATAAAATGCTTTAATATAATATCAGAGTATTGTGTACTTGACGGACATTTAAGGGTAGAGAATTTGGTCCCATTAGGGATTGAAATCCTTAAAGTAAATATTACCTCTCCAGTTTTTTCATATGTTCTTCATAAATGTATAAGGTGAAATTGACAGAGCATCAGAATATTCCACCAGTGCCTGCGTTTTTGTGTACATCGTTATGTTTAACCCCCCTTTTTTAAAGCAATTTTTTATGTTATTTAGCATTTAACGGCAGGTCCAAAAAAATTTTTTCATCTTTTTTGTATAGAAAATACAATTAACAATATTTGGAAAAATAATAATAATCACCTTTATTTGATTAAATGTACATTAATGGGAAGAAATATCATTTTAGGTATTTATCACCTATGTGCAAAAACAGGTAACCTAGTTGCCATGGAAACAAGACCAATTGATCACTTTTAATAATATTTTTGTAAATAGGGCTTATAATGTAATTATTTCACCAAGTTTCAGCAAAATCCATGAGAATCAATTTCCAGCCCATTTTGATGCTAACAGAGAATGACTCTTAAATGCTTACAGAGAATGGCTATTAACTTAATACTGTGATGAAAAAGAGGGAGATTCAGACCTCAAAAGAGGTAGCATTGCACGGGTTGTTTTAAGTATGGATTAACAAAGATGTGTAAATATGGCCTTACAATTTCTTAAAGAACTACGAACTCTAACTCTGATTACCGCCTACATTTTGCACTCATTAAATTCAATATTAATGGCAATTTGGCCATTAAATCTTTGTTTAATACAAAGAACAGTTCTATGGTAATTGATTAATCATTTTAATTTCAGCGCTAGATAGTAAATTATCATTAATTTCAGATCTTGAAAAAAGGGGGTAGACGATATTTTCTAGTGAAATCGAACTTTCAAGAATCACCATATTTTGAAATAGTCTTAAATATGATAAAATGTATCTCATATCTTTTCTTATGTTTTACGCAAATAAATAAACATATATAATTTAATAAAATACAATTATTTAGCTGTAAATAGCTTTAAAATTTGTGAAAAATCAGCATTTTTATTAGTTTTTTTTTTTTTATAAACATATGTTTCCCCCCGTGAAACACAAAAAGCTTTGGCATAAATTTGTAAAATGACAGTTCATAATACCTGTAAAAAGGAATTTTTGTTTCACGGGGGGGGGGGGGGGGGGGGGGGGATGTTTTAAAAATATTTTCCGTTTTCCGTTGATTTCTATAGTGAAAAACACAAGTTTTACCAAGATTATAGAGTTATCTCTCTTTGGTATCCTAAATAAGTAACGTTTTATGAAAATTCATATAAATATCTATAAAAATTTTGAAAATCTTTCGAATATGTTAACTTTTGAGAATTGACTTAGAGGTAGGCGGGAGAACAATACTATCGTTCGTAGTTCTTTCAACTGTAAAAAGGTAGATTGAAAGAGTTTTAGTTTGACATGAGTTATAAAACATAAATATTTTTCGAGCTCATCTATTTGATTTGATTGGCTGCTTAACGGCCTTTTGAAGATTTAGAATGATCTTTGCTGATATAGCCTGGAAGCAATAATTCTGATGTTCATTCAGTTGTCAAACACAGTAAATGATGACATTGTTTAAGGAGATTGGCTCCTGTTATCAAAAGTACTGTATACAGGGTTATTTTTCCCTTTTTACACTTACAAATAAATTTGCCTCATTTTAAATTTGCCCAGTTGTAGATCTGCGGTGTTCTTTGAATTCGTCCTGTTTTAAATTTGCCCAATCATGAAAAGGGCGAAAGGGTTGAAAATAAAATGGGAGTGAAAATTTCCCTGTATTCAGTATTGAAATTTTTTGTCAAGTATATTTTTAGAATCCACACACATAGCTTAATAAAAAATCAAAACAAATCCCCTTCGCGGATTATAAAGTGTAACTGACCCAAACCAGGTTACATCGATTATTTTGGCCAAGAGTTAGAGTCATTCCTTAAGTATTTCATTTTTGTATGCATGTATGTGGTGGTATTTTCGATATTATGTCCTTTGCTTGATTTGAGGTATAATTGTCAAAGATTATTTTAATATTCTTAAGGAGGATGATGAAGCCCCCATTCCAAACGAAGTTAGTGCCACAATTTCTTCAGAAAAATCCCAGTTTCCTCCTGGGGCCCCACCTGTGGGGGAGGATCCGAGACAGGAGGAGGGTGAAAACATGGGCCACATTGAGCACAGGCTCAGCATGAT